CACTTGAAAAATGTGTCACTTTCCTCTGACTTCTGAAGGAAAATCCTGTCATTCAAATGGCTTTCCTGGGATGCCTGGGTGGCTCAGCGGGTTAAGTGACTGACTTGATTTTGGTTCAGGTCATGATCTCAGGGTCCTGGGAGGGAGCCCCAAGTCAGGCTCTGTGGGGAGTCTGCTTGAGAATTCTCTCTCTCTCTCTCTCTCTCTGTCTCCTTCTATCTCTATCTCTCTATCCCTCTCTGTCCCTGCCTGCCTCCTCAAGCACTCTCATGCTCTCACTCTCTCTCTGAAATAAGTAAACTGTAAAAAAAAAAAAAAAAAAAAAAAATGGCTTTCCCCCATAGGTAAGGTATCCTTGCTTTCTCCCAAGTCTCAATATTACTCTTTGTCTTTAGCTTTCAGAAGTTTATGATTTGGGGCAGCCCCGGTGGCTCAGCGGTTTAGCGCCACCTTTGGCCTAGGGTGTGATACTGGAGACCCGGGATCAAGTCCCATGTTGGGCTCCCTGCCTGGAGCCTGCTCCTCCCTCTGTCTGTGTCTCTTGTGAATAAATAAATAAAATCTTAAAAAAAAAAAAAAGAAGTTTATGATGTGTGTGAAACACAGTGTGTTTCTGTGGATTAACCGTTTGGAAGTCTACTCAGTTTCTTGAATGAATCTATAGAAGTATAACTTTTGCAAGTTTGAGAAGTTGAGAATTTTCATTATTTTTTTCAGTACTTTCTCCGCCCCCCACCTTCCTCCTCTCTTTTCATGACACTGATGTCAAAAATGCTAGATCTTGTTATTATTCCACATTTCCCTGAGGCTCTGCTCATTTTTTTTTCAGTCAATTTTATTTCTCTTGTTTAGATTGGGTAATTTCTATTGTTCCTTTTTCTAGTTCACTGATTCTTTCCTCTGCCCCTTCCATTATGGACCCCATCCATTGAGGTTTTTTTTTTAATTTATTATTGAATTATGGTTGACCTATGATGTTATACTAGTTTCAGGTGTACAACAAAGTGATCTGATGAGTTCATACATTATATGATCCTCACCATGAGAAGTGTCCTTACCATCTGTCACCATACATTATTATATAATTATTGATTATATTCCATCTACTGTGACTTACTTATTTGATAACTGAAAGTTTGTACCTCTTAATCTCCTTCACCTATTTTATCCATACCCCCATTGAGTTTTTATTTTGGCTATTGTAATTTTCAGTTCTAAGATTTCCACACGGTTTTCCTTTATAACTTCTATACCTTCATTGTGACTTTCTATTTTTCCATTTCTTTCAAGAATGTTCATAATCACTTATGGAAGCACATTTATCATGACTCCTTTAAAATCTTTGTCAGATAATTCTAACATCTCCATCAATTTTTTTTTCAGGTATCTTGATATCATTCTAGTTCTTGGTATGAAGAGTGATTGTTTTTTTTTCATCAAAGCTTGGATATTGTGTGTATTATATTCTGAGACTGGCTCATATTGATGTCTTTTGTTACAGATGGCTTAACTTTAATTTCACTCCATCAAGAAAGGGACAGGAGGGGCTAGAAATCCAGATTCTTCATTTGGCTTCCACTGATAACCAAACTGAAGAATGCTTCTCATTGATGCTGGGTGAGTTCCACTTCCAACAGTGGGCTTCCACTGATAACTCCCTGGCTGGAAGGTAAGAGTGCCCTGTTACTGCCTCCAGCATGCCCTCCTCTGACACCATTCCAATCAAAAGTGAGAAGAGTACCTCATTACTGATGGGAGGGGGTATAAGTCCAGACTCCTTTGGTTTTCACTGTCACTGCAAGTATGTGGAGTCCTCATTATTACTGAGCAGGGATAAAAGTCTTGGCTCCCTAGTTGAATTTCTCTGACACCCCTATGGGATGATGGTGGGTTACAGCTCCTATTTACCACCTGATAAACGTGGAAGTATAAACTCAGCTTTTGCTGTTGGGTGGGAAGAGACAGCGTGGATTTTTCTGTGGTGTTTGCCTAGCATAGTGCCATCTAAAGTTTTATGTTTTATTTAGGCTGTCACTTTAATACTCCTTTGGCTTAAGAGATCATGCTTTTTTCTTTTTTTAGTTTTAGGTTTTTTTTATTTAGTTTTTTTGTTATCATTGGCTTTTCTGAGTTGCCAGCTTTTTTCAGCAGCAAATCTAGAATGTAAGAAAAATAAAATCCAGGGTCTTATCACCATGTTGTTCCTTGGGTCTCAAGGTCCCTAAAGCCAGTTTCCCTTCTTGTGCCCACCTTTCAGTCTTTTATTGTTTGTCGTAGACATGCTTATGACTTTTAGTTGTATTTAAAGGGAGGATTAAAGAAAAGTATGTCATCTTCATCTTCACAAAAGCAGAACTCAACCCTTTGAAGAATTCTAAGCAACGAAGTTCTATGTTGGCTTTTTACATTTTAGACTGATAACTATAAATGGGGAAAGCTCAGAAATTGGAGGTAGGGTAGAGGTCATCTAGAAGGACATTTAAAGCAGAAGCACCTGTTAGAACATGCTCTAGATTGGTTATCTGATGACAGTCTGAAATATACAGCTGGAGAGAATAGGCACAAATCAGATCAGAAGCCAAACACAGAATACACACCAGCCAACAACATACTTATGCATGCCAGCTGGAGATCAGCTTTGAATATATGGCAGGAGGTATGGGAGAGAAGGACACTTGTGACAGGTACTAAAATATAGACTCAGCAAAATGTAATGGCTGATGGGGTGTGATATGTAAAGATCATGACCTTAGAATCACTCCTTGATTCTTAGTTTGGATGACTGGGTAGATTCAGGTAAAATTAACAAAACTACAGAGTACATGGAGAGAAATGAGTTTTGCAAGGAAGAATGGAGAGGTGAGATCAGTTCATGTCATCTTGAGCATAAGATGTGTATGCACCATCCAAAGTTGGTCTAACCATAAATTGGTGCTCAGCAGGAAGATCTGATATATACATATGAGTAGTTAGAAGCCTCGGTTTAATTAGCACAACACAAATCCAACTGCATGAGGTTTATCCCCAAAATATAAGCAGAAGAAAAGGCTAAGAATAAGACTCTTATAAACCCCAATGTTTAGGATCAAAGTAAGAGAAACCAAGAGAGGGAAGGAGGACAAGCTGTCTGAGAGATAGGAGAACAGAGGAGTAGAGGTCAATTTAGTTCCCTGAGCATTTGCTGAGTGTTTAGTGTGTGCTATGCATTATGCTGGAAGACTGGATTTTGAGGATCTCACACTCTACTAGATATAAACAGATAGTATCAAGACAGTGTGCTCAGCTCAGTGATCAGTGATATCCGCGGGGACAATGGAACCATGGAAAGGGACACTAATCAAAACCAAAGGCTGTTAAGAGGAAACTTTGAAAAGATAAGAACATCTAAGCAGAGTCTTCAAGCATAGGAGGAATTAATCAGGTAAGGAAGGACAAAGGGAAAGTCATGCTAGGCAGAAGAAACAGCCAGACCAATAGCAAAAGGGTGTGGAGTTCAGGAGGAGAGAGAATTACTTGCAGGAAACAGCAAGGTTGATGCACAGAGGGAGTGAAAAGAAAATCAGATTGAAGATCCTTTGATTTGGTCACATATGAAGTCACTGTTGACCTCTGCTGTGGTAGATTCTAGGAAGTGATGTGGACAGAAATTGCACCATCATGGGATAAAGAGCTTCTAAAAGAATATGAAATCCACACAGTGTAGGTTTGGTACTTTTTTCAAGAAGTTTAGTGGAGAAGAAAGTTAAGATGGGATAGCTAGAAGTGGGCAAAGGTCTAAAAAGCTTTGTTTTGCTATCAGAAGGAATGGAGGATGTTTATCCATCATACAAAAGAAAGCAGGGTGCAGATAAAAGGTTTTCGAATGTACCTATTATATTTAATCTTTTACATAAAAATATCCCGTAAAGCATCTACACCCTTCTTGAGCACATCATTCCAGGATAAAGACAAATACCTGAGTCCCTTTCATGGTGTTCAAATCATGCTTCAAATAAACCCAAGAAATAATAAAAGGCCGATGGAAAATGCACAAGAACTGTATGTTGTTCAGCAATAAAAGGCAGCTGAATACTTATAGGGCAGCTGCAGCTCCGTTACATTTATGTTCCTAATACTACCATTCACTAGCGGTATTCAGTGTGGAGATTTATTTTTACTTCAAAGGGAATGATTTTTTTTTTTAAGAATTCTATTTTTCCGAGAGAGAGAAAGAGAGAGAGAGAGAGAGCACAAGCCAGGGGAGGGGCCAAGGGAGAGGCAGAAGCAGGCTCTCCGCTGGTTAGGGATCCCCCGATGCAAAACTGGATCCCAGGACCCTGTGATCATGACTTGAACAAAAGGCAAACACTTAACCAACTGGGCCACCAAGGTGCCCTGGGAATGATCATTTAAATTTTTTTTTTATTCTATTGCAATAACTTTGGGACAATACTTTCTAGAAATCCTTTAGGAATAGATAACAAGGGCAGCCCCAGTGGTGCAGTGGTTTAGCGCCTCCTGCAGCCCAGGGCGTGATCCTGGAGACCCTGGATCAAGTCCCACGTCAGGCTCTCTGCATGGAGCCTGCTTCTCTCTCTGCCTGTCTCTCTGCCTCTCTCTCTCTGTGTCTCTATGAATAAATAAATAAAATCTTTTTTTAAAAAAAGGAATAGACAACAAGTTCATTAGTATATGTTTTTCATAAAATAATATTTACTGGCTTTGTTCAGCACAATTTAAATAGCTGGCTATTATTTTTCTGTATTCCTTTCTCTTTGAAATCATATCTTTAACTGGAAGAAGATATGAAAATGTCTCTGCCTCTAATCCAAATTTTTTCTGCTCTCTCTTGGAAACTACTCCTTAAAAGTTTCAGTTAAAAATATAAAATAAAATAAAAAATAGATAGATATAGATCATAGATTTCTTTAGGTGGTGGTATTAATTTCATAACAAAATATTTCATAATATATAAAAATAGATATAGATCTCTTTAGGTGGTATTAATTTCATTTGATTACCTCATATAGAACTGTTGTGTTCCCATGTAGAAGAGGTCCATAACAGATATAGGAATGCCCAACAACCCAGCCTAAATCAGAGGCTGCCCACCACACCTAAAAAATAAGAAGATAGTAAACTACATAAACGTTCATCAGGGAAATGTCAAGTATCATGAATTTAAAACCATGATTACCTCTCCAGGTTTAAGTCCATAGATCGAAGACATTGTCCAGTTTAGCATTACAGCGTATCCCCCGGTGGGTCTAACAACACCCTAAAGGAAAGAAAACATGACGTTAACATCAATAACCCATGTGTGAAGAGATTCTTTGCCTCCATACTATCCATCTTTAAAAGTTCCTGTTTTAAGTATTTTATATTCTATAAACTACATATGACTTTGGCTTTCATATAATTGTATTCGCATCAATATTTATTTGGCTCCCCCAATAATAAACAGAGAAAAATTTGTCTAGATCAGCTCACTTGTGAGAATTCACAGACCATTCTTGACTTTCTAAAGAAAACTCATGACCTCATAGAATCACATGCAATGACATTTCTTTTTCCAGGGGTAGCATAAATTAACAACATTACATTTGCAGACACTTTTTCCAGAACACAATGGAAACTCTCAAAATTAAGTGCAAAGTCAAACGTAATTGTGTTCTTCAAACAGAGCATAATATAACAATGGCTATTCCTTGATATTATTAAATAATAGTAGGATGCTTAGAGGAAACAAAGTCATATTCTAACCGGAGCCTCATTACAATGCTATACTGGGGTTCCTGCTGTCATAGTATGAGAGCTAAATGATTCTTTCATGATGAATTCTGGAATTCTGACAAAGCAATCCTCCTGGGTCAGATCTAAGGCTGACAGATTTGCCTTATATTACATTTGGGGCAAAAGTAGGGATTACTACATCACAGTATTACAGCTTTCATGAACCAGTTTCTAGCAGCTATCCACAATATTGAACATAATCAACTCTAATACAAGATTAATATTTGAAAACTGGCACAAGAGTCACCATAAATAAAAGCTGATGATAAATTTAATAATTGCATTTATTGCTTCACTATAAACATTAATCATCAGTGACTTAAAAAGGATTAACTGCTTGAATATTCAAAATGATCAAGTGAATGCTTGCTTAAAAACAAGCTATATTTCATTCACATGGATTTGGAATCATCTTCTAGTAGAGCAACTATTATTACTTTATGCAGAAAATAATTATTTTACCTAAAGGTAAACAGGGCCCTAATTAATAAATGTACTACTAGTTGGAACCTTTCGGCATAACTCACCAGCTTTAACGTACATGCGTGAATCAGAGAAATGAAAAACATACCGACTTTCCATTAGTGACTAAAGTAGCTGTTCTCCTTAGGTACCACTAATAAAACAGAGGTATCAAGCTGTGGAACACACTTTATCTACCAGCAGAAACACCCGGCCCCTTGGCAAATGTCACATGCAGCTTCGTTGGCATTTGACAGCTACTCTCTGCGGTGCACGACATGGTTAGCATGCAGCTGGCTCTCTGGATCATCATCGGAGTATTAGAAATCCTTAGCCCCCTGCCAGAAGATTTCACACGTGCATTTCCCCCGTGTAAACTGAGCAGCTCTTTCCTCTTATATTCTGTACTATTTTTCTTGAACTTCACTCATTAGTTTGTTTTTTTTTTAATATCTTTTCTTATGATTCAATACTTTGAGGAATTTGATATTAATCATTGCAATTTGCAACATCACTAAATCTCCCCCTTGCAAAAGGACACCCCATCCAGATGAGGGATTGTTTGAAGTATCCTGAATACAAGCACCCAAACTAACTAGGATAGAAGGGTAAATTTTTAGATTATATGGTACAGAAGAGAAGATGAGTCAACTAGGAATGATAAAAAGGAAGAAAGGGCTAGAAAAAACATAAATGAGTAGTAATTCATTTGTAAAACTAAAAATATTATTGAAAGGAATAAGCGATTAAATTTCTTTTTACCTCTCAAGTGGACTTTATCCTTTACCCTTCTTTAAAGGATATTAACCAATGCTGTGTTCCCCATAAAATGGTGGATGCTTAAATCCATTTGGGCAAAAAAAGTGGGACTTAAAAATGAGATCATGAATGAAAAAATATTTAAAATTATAAGGTATTTTTAATTTAATTTAGTATCTTATTAACAAAATTATTTCCTTAGTTCTAGCAATCATTTCTTTTTATTTTCCCTTGTGCTGATATCATTCAAAAGACAGAAACTGTTAAAGCAATTAAAGGTTTCCATAAAAAGTTCTCATTAAAAACAACTGAAATGGAGCTACTGGAGAGAGAAAAGCTGTGATGTTTGTTTTTCATTGGTCTTTGATAACAATTTTTATTTTTTATGGATGAGTATAAAAATTTCTATAAAGTAACATTTTACCATTCATTAATCTAGATAATAGATCTGAAATTTAGTCTTTTTCTCTAAAATATTTGGGTAATAGTTTTCAATTTTCTGTGTATCTGATATGGTTTAGAGAAAAAAATGCATAATTTCATGTTCTTCATGTAGATCTTTCATAAAAAGTTTTAAGTAAAATAAAAATTGAAAGATTAGGTTTACAAAGATAATTTATTTGTTATAATATTAATATGTGACTAAAAAATAAGACAATAAAGTATTTTTTTGGTTTCTTATTCATAATCATATTTTCCAAGTAATGATAATTAAAAAGTGAAAGAGAAACTTTGTTCAGCCTCTGAAAACACATAAACAATTCTCAAAAATGAAATCATTATACTCTAACAGTCCAAATAAATCTGAAACTAAAAACTCTTTTAAAATTTTTTTAAAAATTTTTTTTTAATTTTTATTTATTTATGATAGTCACAGAGAGAGAAAGAGAGAGAGGCAGAGACATAGGCAGATGGAGAAGCAGGCTCCATGCACCGGGAGCCCGATGTGGGATTCGATCCCGGGTCTCCAGGATCGCGCCCTGGGCCAAAGGCAGGCGCCAAACCGCTGCGCCACCCAGGGATCCCCTAAAAACTCTTTTAAAACATATTTGAAATCTTAAGTATAAGGTAAAAACATTTAATATCAGTGCTTACCCCTAAAGTCCAAGCATGCTGCATTTTACTCTTTTGAATGTCTGTTCTTACTTTCCTTATGTACTTAATACTCCAACTACCTTAAAAGTAAAAACACTGGATGTACTAATATATTGTCAGAAAAGCCTTGTAAAAAAAAAAAAAGAAAGAAAGAAAGAAAAGAAAAGAAAAAAGAAAAGCCCTGCAACCTGCCAATATACTGTTCTGGTTTTTGGAGCATTAGCTATAACACTTTAAAGTCTTCTGGGGAACTTGAAAGATTTCTGGGTGGGAGTAACACTCTATACTCCAAATAAAGACATGAAAGTGAATTCTAGCTCAAAAATGCAAGAGAAGACAATGTTTTGCTCTTTAATACGAAACAACAACACATTTTTAATGTATATGGGCATTTAAGAACTTCAATCCACACAAGTAAAGTTAAAGGCTGGTTATTAGTCACCCAGGAACGGGATCACAAAATCATCCCAGAAGGTTCTTTATGACTTTCAGCTTAATGAGCTGCCTTTGAAAACAAGGAAAACCACAAAATTTCATAAATGGGGCTATTAAAACATAAAATATGAAAACATAAAATATGTCAGCACCAAGTGCGGTATGCAGTGTTCGTTGCCACAATGTAAGAAAAATACAGAACAATATGGGTTTTATCAGAAGAAGATGAAAGACTGAGTATGGTAAGATTAAGAGTTTGGGATTCTTCATCCCAAAAGTGTTTTCTTTTTTAGTGGATCTATAAAAATCTGGAAAGCAGATCTCACAATACTCAGGGAAGGGAAGTGTGGAGTACTCCAGAGAACGTCATACTAAGTTGAGCTCCTCTGTCATCTGACTCTGCAACATGCTTGTACAAAATATAATATGCATATTTCCATCCATGAGGTATGTATTTATTCACGCATGCATGTGTAAATATAGATGCTTACGTGTGTGTGCACGCGTGTTGTAATTTGGCCTGACAAGTTGAGGTGAAGAACAAAAGAAGAAAGGGTAAATAAATATTTTATCTAACTAAAAGAAATCCGTCACCCCCATGGCTGGGGTCCGTGAGTCGAGAAATAAAAGATACAGTTCTGATTACTTAAAAAAAAAATCCAACAGATCAACAATAATCTTGTCCTTATAATGGCTTTACAGATGATATCCCTTCTTTCTAGAATGAACCACCGCTCCCACCTCTTCCCTGATCCCAGTTAGCTCCTACTTCATCACACAAGTACTCAAAGACATCATGAAAGTACCACGTCATCTCAAAGCCATCTCCAACCCCACAGTTTGTGTTAAGTGTCTTTCCTGTTTCTTCCTTGGCTCCTGGGCCAGAAAACGTCTTTGGAGTGACCAGCCTGACCTAGGGCTGTGTTCCCCGCCCCCCCCCCCCCACACACACACACACTGAGAATGCCTCTTCATCTCCAGTACGGTAACTGCCATGGAACAGGCATGTAATACATTTGTTGACTGATTCAATACTGTGAACAGTTGAGTGAATAATGTACATGTAAGAAAAATACAATTCTTTTTTTTTTTTTTGAGTAGTCTTCTATGTTGGGAGAAAGCTTTGAAACTTGTAGAACCTAGTGAATCATATTAGTTGAAATGGAATGGTTCCATTTGGGATAGAGCATCAAACATAAAATCTCTTTCTACAGGCTTTTGGATAACTCTGAAGCTGCCTCTACGGACGGTACTTTAGCAGCAATATAATTTTTTATTGATCTGAACAACTGTGAGATAAGAGGCAAAAGTATAGCAAGTTCAGCATTTTAACTGCAAGAATTGTACCACAGATAAAAAGAAAAAAGTTCACTGCTTTTTTATTTGACTTTCTCCTATTTTTTGCTCTAGGGTAAGAAATATGAATGTCACCTAACATATGTAGGAGTAGAAGTGACATAAATTGTGTTAATATGCATCAGGACCAAAGGCCCACCACTTTCTCATCATGCCTTCCTTTCTTTTTCTTTTTCTTTTTCTTTTTTTTTCATTTGCTTCTTTTTTTTTTCTTTTCTTCAAGTGTGCTTGACATACAATATTATGTCAGTTTCAGGTACAACATAGTGATTCAATATTTATGTACATTGGGAAGTGATCACCATGACCAATCCAGCTACTGTCCATCACCATACAAAGCTGTTACATATGATTAACTCTATTCCTTATAGTTTGCACACATTATCCCCGTGTCTTATTTATTTCTTAACTGGAAGAAAGTTACCTCTTTTCCCCCTTCCTCTATTTTGCCCATCTCATCAGCCCCTCTCCTCTGGCAACCATCAGATTGTCCTCTGTATCCAGAGGTCTGTTTCTGTTTTGTTTCATTTGTTTCAATTTCGCATATAAGTGAGTTCACATGGTATTTGTCTTTCTCTGACTTCTTTCACTTAACATGATATCCTCTCATGGTTTCCTTTCAATACTTTGCTTTCTTTCCCTCTTTATCCTACCCTCCTTTTCTGCTTTGGAACTGGGCTTTTTTTGTTTGTTAGCTTCGTGTGTGTGTGTGTGTGTGTGTGTGTGTGTGTGTGTGTGTGAGATTATCACTGTCCCTTCGTGATATCAAGGTGGAAAAAGATACATCACTAAATCTCCCCCTTGCAAAAGGACACCCCATCCAGATGAGGGATTCTTTGAAGTATCCTGAATACAAGCACCCAAACAAACCAGGATAGAAGCCCACAACACTGCAGAAATGTATGCAAAGCAGCTCAGTGTGGTTGCGGGAATATTTACAGCAGCTGACAGATTAACCTATCACACAGCGACCTGACAAATCCAGGGCTGGCAGACGCAGAGATGCAAATATGCCCTAAATATATCTGCAACTTCTAACCAAAGAATAGATTGCCTTATGTGTGTCTTATATGTGCCTATGAGAAATGAGTGTTTTTAAGCAGAATTATTTTTATGGGCTCACAACATTATTTTTCCTCATGAAGATCAAAGATTGAGAGAACAAATTATAAGATGACATGAAATTTATATTTAAATGCTTCATAAACATATGTGTGCTCATCTTTCCTGTACTTCTATTCTAGGAATCCAAATATTAAAATTTCAGATCCCATTAATCCTGATTCTACCTGCCAAAAGTGAAATGAGAATTTTATGAATAGGGATCCCTGGGTGGCACAGCGGTCTGGCGCCTGCCTTTGGCCCAGGGCACGATCCTGGAGACCCGGGATCGAATCCCACGTCGGGCTCCCGGTGCATGGGGCCTGCTTCTCCCTCTGCCTGTGTCTCTACCTCTCTCTCTCTCTCTCTCTCTCTCTCTCTGTGTGACTATCATAAATAAATAAAAAAAAGGAATCTTATGAATAAATAGGAATCCGGAAACTAACTGGAGAAGCAAAAGATCATTTAACGAATCTTCTGAGGATTTACCATGGCCCAGTTTTTAGGACAGTGACATACTGCAGCCAAAGACGTCTGAAATATATTCTAAGACCTCTGAGAACGTGCAATGTTATGCAGATAAGTAAACAAAAACTAGTAGGCATAAGACAGAATAAAATAAATGGCATAAAGGTTTGCTGACAATGTATAATTTTGATTCAACTGAAATTCCAAAGTGCACTAGAGGGACGAAGGAAGTAGTCCTGAGGGACCTTGAGACACGACTACTTTTTCTTGCCCTTCTACATGCCCTACTTTGCAAAACCTACTCACTCCCATGCTTAAACACCAGAGCTCTGTATTGAGGACCCACCAAGGGTCTCAAGGTCTATCTCCCAACCCACATGCACTTCTGGGACCCAGACCTTCACCTCCAACTTCTGGCTAGGCATCTCCATGTTAATGGCCCAGAGATGTTCCAAAATTCCGAGTTTCTCCTGCCCCAACCCACCCCCTGTGTTTAGTAAATATCCAAAACCATCATTCTCCTGTGCTCTCAGTTTCAAATCTTGGACCCCTCCTCTGCCTCACTCTTATCTTTGAACGAATTCTGATTTCTGTTAATTAGATGCTCTCCCAAATGAAGTCCTAAAAGCCTGAAAATGAATCTCCTTGCCTCCATTGTATGTACTTATGTATCTTCACACCAAAATGTTGCTAGGGTTTACCTTGGTTCATATTCTTCTCTCTCGCTTAAGTAGCATTAGTGTTCCCCATCCCTTATATACAGAATATAACCTAAACTTCTTGGCTAAATTTTGAGTCTGGCTCCTGCCTATATATCTAGTCATTTCTCCTCTGCACTTGTACCATATGCACTAGCCATCCTGGAAACTTCCTTGCATGCTCCTTCCCTTGCTTATGCTAACCCTTTCTGCCTATATGCCCTCCTCTCTGTGATGCCACTCTATGAAGAACTTTTATTCATCCTTCATATGTCATCTTATAAGAGCTTTCTTTGACCATCCTTTGGTGGAACAGCTCTCCCACTCTTCCCACTATTTGGTCCCATTACCCTGCTTTATTTTTCCTCATAACACTTTTCATACATTACATAGCTTTTTGTTTAGTGCCTGTGTCCTGGCTATAGAATATAAACTTCTAAAAAGAGAGCCAGACACATATATGTACATTGGGATATATGGGTGCTCAGTAATATCTGTGGAACTTAATGACTGTAAGAGACCAATGTCATCTTTTCCAAGAGAGAGAGAAAGAGAGAGGGTGTTGTCTCCTGGGTACGGAACAATAACACAGCCTCCCTATCAGTGAGATGTTCCTGTGCAAAAAAATAAAGACCAAAGGAACAAGTCAGAGAGCAAGACTGACTCAGGACTGGCCTCTGAGCACCAAGGATGGACCTTGATTTTGACAGGCCAGAGGAGACGCTAACATCCAGATGCTTTTGTCCACTGAGCTTGGTCACAATGTCACAAGTGTGAGTGCCTGTCTTCCGGCGAGGCCTCATCTTCTCATTCCCCTCTGTCCATTCCCCATCAGTGTTTTGGCCAGCTGGAGACATACACACACACACACACAGAACAAAAAACCTCCATCCAGTCTGCATTCATATATACTTCAACCCGCTAGACTGAAGGCACTGTGGTTCACTCATATCTTTTAGTACAGAATGAACAGTCAATACACATATATTGAATGGAGCTGAATTCAACACAGAGATCTCCACACAATGAAAGCCTTCTCCAATCTACTGAAACAGATTATCTTCAAGATGGTACATTAGGAAGAAAATGAGAATGAATGAATCTTCAAATGATCTTCAGTTTGGGCATGTAGGACTCCAAAAGAGAAGTTCTTGACCCAGACAAAACCTGGAAAAAGCAAGCCTCCTTATTTGGAACCACCACTTTTCAGATTTGATGCCCTATATGTTACTGTCATTTCTACCACATAGGCTGAGTCAGTTTTGAGTCACTGACAAGCTCTTCTGTTCCTATTGTAAAGATCCCCATCCAGGCCACAGTGAAATTCAGGGTAATTTAAAATCCTGAAGTGGCACAAATGTTTTAATAAGAATCCTTCAGGCTTATAGGAGCTAAAGTGATTTTTGGAGGGTTCTTTTTTATTTGGTTAGGTTATACTGTTTTCAGGGTCAGGGGTTTCCTCTCTCATGTTCATACTTTTCTATCAGATTATAATTTTCTGAATCCCCTTTTATTTTATAGCCAAACATTCAGTTAGACTCTATGTGACTGATGTATAATGCAAAATTGCAAAAGGTAGGGGGTTATGATTTGGGTCCAAAAGATCATTTGGACTGCTTGAACAAGACATAGTCATCAATATGAAGGAATATTTTTCAGATGACCAGAGTTGTTAAAGAAATCATAAGAGCTTGATTCTACAATGACACAAATATATTTATCTATATGCATTTATTTATTTATTCAATGAACAAAAATTTATTAAGTACCAAACTACATACCAAGCATGATTGTAGCAAGGTCTCTGTCCTCGGAGAGAATACATTCCTTACCAAATGTTTCATTTTATACAGGCAAATGAGTTTTATATGGGACATCCTAATTTTTCTTTTTTTAAGACTAATCAAGTGGAACCACTGTTTTAAAAATATGACAAATTATATCTCAGAACTCTGATGCTACAGAAATCTAATATTAATAAAGAGGCCACTGCTCTCATGGGATGCAAGTGATCGTGAAAGTCCCTTCCCCTAGTAAAATTTTATGATTCAGTGACTGTTGAACTCCTTAATAAAAATGAATAGGAAAATGACACTATAAGCCTTTGTGAAGTTGTATGAAGAAACAGTATTATTTAGAGACACAGACAAAAGTGGTATTTATTTGTTATCTGACACCTTCAACATATTGATGCTTCTAACTTTGTTTTGTGAAGACACCTTTCATGGTAAGCAGATTTAAAAATCCTTGAGTGTCTTCAGTGCTGCAAATCACATAGTTCAATACTCTGGATACACTGCCCGTTGTTCAAACCGTCTACATCAATTCTCAAACTTGCGTTTATAATAAAGAATCAAATTCCCTTAGATCAAAAATCAATTCCATACTCCACAAAAGTTATATCTCAGTTTAGAGAATAAAAATATTTCATTTAAAACAGTTTTGTAGAATTTTATTAAAGCACCTGATGTTTTAATCATTAAAATTTGATTAAACCAATATCCATTCATCTTAATGGCTTACTAGAGCAACTGCAACTTGCTGATGTATGTGAAGATTTTGAAAGAAATCGAGGGAAATCATCTGACATGAAATATGATTAATATTTTTCAGGATTTAAACACAACATTCCTTTAAGATATAAACTACCCAAGTCTAAATCTCTAGGTACAATCTGCATTTTTACTAAGTAATCAAACATTCTCAGGGCACAAAAAAATCTGCTGCTACAGATACTTATCCCTCAGAGAGCAAGTACCTTGGGCAGCCCCGTTGTTCCGGATGTGTAAAGAATATACAGCGGGTGTTCCGAAAGAACAGGAACACAGTCATGTGACTGTGCTTTGGCCATCTCTTCATCCCAATCGAGGTCACGACCTGGAACCAAAGGAACTGTCTCCTACACAGGAAGTATACAAAAATATGCACTGAACAAAGGAGGTTAAATCAGAACAGTGGAAACTGACTTAATCTATATATATTCGTCTGAGCATCTGCCTGAAAATCTAGGCCTAGACAGCACTAAATATCAGATTTATGACTATGTATTTCAGGGTCACGAGTTAAAAATATTCCTAAAAAGTCCAACAATTTGATATTGGCTTCAAACGAACTGACAAAAGAACATATTTTTTCAAATCAAAGGATATCCTTAAGAAATCCAACGTGATGCAGTCATGTTTTCATCAACAGTCAGAACTTAGCTAACAGAGGTTCATGTTTTCCATAAACATATATGCACTACTAACATTATAAGCCAATTTCTATTTATTTTTATTTTTTTCTTTTATTTTGGAGCTAAAGTCTTCACAATGAAACGTCAACTCACCCATTAAAATGTTTCTTCATACAAGGGCAATTTAGAATATTGTGTCTGTCTTTCCAAATGAGAAAATAGTATATCATTTTCAGGGGTGGGGGAGAAATAAATTTTTGCTTTTCCAAAAACAAAAATTAGTTTTGAAAAATAATGAGTATATGTGACATATCTAAAATGCTATCCAATTTTTCCTCCATCGAAGTCACTGATTAATATAGTAGAAATGTTTATTTTCTTTTTTGTTCCTAGAACCAAGCTCTGCACTGTAAACTTTATGATAATAGAGTCATGAGTTAGTCAGAGACAAATTAGAGAGATGAGACCTCTTTATTTAAAATACTGCCAACAAAACAAGCTAGACAGATAAAGAGCAGGGAAGTGGCTTATGGGAAAATTATTCTAATGAGGAGACAGCTATTTAAGTAGAATTAAGATTCAGTACATGTCTGATTATTTTCTGAAATGTTAACTAAGCCCCAGATGACACATCAGGAAGTTTATATTTGGTGAATTTATTAGTACAGGCACAGGCAAGGCTATACATTCCTCAGTGAAAATTAGTAAGATCCACCACCTACAGAGCATATATAACCATTCATTTTATCAAGGTGATCCCCGAGTGAAGCCCAGAGACTCTGAGGGATTTAGAATAGCCAGGCCATTTCCATTGCTCAGGATCCTTAACATATTAATCAGGGTTGTAAAAGTGTTCATATATTTAAGTGAGTACATTTACAAAATAACACTTCAATCTAATATCATAAATACAGTGCCTCTGTGAATAATCACATTTAGGTAACAATCAGAATTGAACTTCACGAAGGTGAAGTGTAAGGCTCAATTGGCTTCTCCACCCTTGCTCTGATAGATACTGAATGTGCCACTGAGATAAATAAAAATAGTTAAGTGTAACCAAATTGTACATTTCCACTTGTTTTTAAGGATCAGATAAACACAACTAATTTCAAATTACCAAGTCTTTAACATTACAATAACAGGCTTATAATAAAATTATCACACTGCATAATGAAAATTGTCAGTTGAATGATCACAAAAAAATATCACAGATCAAATGAAATAAAGGACATGAATGAATGGTTATTCTTCAGGCTAAGAAAACCTTTTACAGGCATACGTAAAGAAGACTTGGCAAATCAGCAATAGCTTTTACATATATACATTCACTTCTATAGACATGTCCTGTTATCATTCCTAAAAGGCAATATTGGTAGAGCACCAGAGCTGACTGATATGATATTCCTTTGATTCTGTTGTTGTTTGCTTGAGGCTTAGGAGTAGCAGCCAGGATTTTACCTCCTTTGGCAAAAATGTAATTCTGGTTAATGAGACACACCACCGAGCCTCATAATTTGTGTCTTTAAACTGAAAGCAAAGCCAGTCCACTGGGCTTAATTACTAACTAAACAGCAGGCCTACTATAAAGGGCATCCAAAGCCCTCATCTAAAATAAAGATAAGTCAAAATATAAGGAAGAGTCTCAAGAAAAAAGGAAAATGAGAGGAAGTGAGCCATTATGGGAAGGAGGGACAGAGGAGGGGATCTCTGCCTATAAAGAGGAAAGACAAGAGATTTGCATTAAAAAAAATATGAAGAGGAAACTTGCATATCTATATCAAATGTGTTGATAAAGTAAAAGAAAGAGCATATATCTTCTTGGTTAAAGTCATTGAATCAACATTCAAATCTTGGAACCACTTATGAGCTGTGACCTTGGGCTATGACCTCTCCATAGCTGAGTTTCTTCATCTGTAAAATGGGACCAGTAATAACATCTACTTCATTGCTTTGTGAGAATTAAATAAGAAGTATAGGAAAGTACTTAGCTTTGGGCCTAGCATAAATTCTTTACAAATTCATGAGTTTATATACGTGCAATTGCCACACACATATTCACAGAAATACTTCATATGTGTGTGTGTATGTGTTCCTACCTTTTCTCCAACCTCCTCATAACCAAAGTCTCTTTTATTGCTGACTTTGTATTCCTTGACTTAAAAGCAATAAGCCTTTTTAAAAATATGCTTGAAGGCATCTGAAAGAAACTCAAAATTCTTTGAGACAGTAAGAATATTAAAATCATTGAGTGCAGCAGTTCATGAACCACAGACTACTAAAACTTTACACAGGAATTTAATGTGGTAATGGGAATTGCTAGGTGGTAATCAAAATGACATAGTTTTAATGCTTTCTATTCTTATATCTTGTCATTTAAGCATTTTCTGCAGATAACCTCTCAAGAGTTCCATAAAATTACACAATTCTTTGCACTCTTTTAATTTTCTTTCTGCAAAAAATTTTAATCTGCTAGGAACCTAAGCTGGTTCCACTATAAATAGCTGACACTTGCATAGATGTAAAATAAGGTGGTCATTAGATCAAATTTACTAGAAAAAGCACTGTAAAGTGTATTCATTGTCTTATATTGCTTTTTCTTCCTTCATGGATCACAAAATAATTTCTCTGTTTAGAATATTTATATTTTGCTTTCATGAATATAGTTTTTAGTTTTATTTCCAGACTAAATGCCTTCTCTAAAGTTTTTAAAAGACAAATTTTATATGAAATTAATCATACCACTCCACAAGGCAGGAGAGCTGAGGGATCAAGCATATACTCAGAGTATGTGCATTCTGATCATGACCCTGATGTTTACTAGCTGGGCAAGTCGTTTTAATTCTGTTTATTGGATTTCTCTTACATAACAAAGGAATAATGCTATCCTCTAGCTCATAATGTTATCAGGAAGATTTTTTAAACTATTCATTAGTAGAGTATCAAAAATCATATGGTAAACAGTGTTTGGTACTTTCATTATTATCATAATTTAAATTAATATAGACCACCACAATAGACTATGCATAGAATCCAATTCATTATCATTGCATATTTTATGTGCTTCATGGCCAAAACTAGAATCATCCTTAGCACATCATCATAAGCAAGAACCAAATTCAAAATTCAGATTACCATATTCGGACGATTATAAATGAGAACGTTATCTGGTTTGTGCTGTCCTAATTTCAGTGCTTCTTCTAGAAGTGGGATGTATTCTACTCTCCTTCCAGGTTCAATACCAAATGATGCTGTAACAACCACCTTGGGCTACAATGGAAAAATAGCAATCATTGAGAAAGTTGAACAATACTAATTAAGGTGAGCACAGTATTTTGGGCGCAGGTTGGCAATTTAACATTTCTAAAGAAATGTTTTAATGATTCTGTTCTCTATTGAATAAATGGCCTGAAGACAATAAACCCTTTGTAAATATTGTAGACCTAACCACTTCCACAGAGATCTCACTTACCTGTTCCGAACTTCACGTTTAGGATGCTTCAGGCCAATGAGTAGGGGCTGTTTAAAAAAAAAAACTTTCCAAAGAGTTCATGAATCCAGATAGAATTGCTTTGAACCAATGACATGCAAGCCTAGGGGCCCAGCCCTTTCCGTGGCTGGTATACCAGCTGGTTGTTGTTGGAGTCATAGTGTTTCATAGGTGGGGAGGGTCAGCCTGTTGCTATCAGGAAGCTCTACTACATTTTTTTTTTTAAGATTTCATTTATTTATTCATTCATGAGAGACACAGAAAGAGAGAGGCAGAGACACAGGCAGAGGGAGAAACAGGCTCCACTCAAGGGGCCCAATGCAGGACTCGATCCCGGGTCTCCAGGATCACATCCCGGGCTGAAGGCAGCGCTAAACCGCTGAGCCACCCGGGCTGCCCTACATTTTTTATGTCAGCATCTCTGCTTAAATGTGACCGCAAAAAAAGGACCCAAATCCTGACTTTTTTATTGATTCTTTTCTCATTCTAAATACATCCATTTTTGCCAAATACTATATTTGTAATTTTATTGTATTTTTCTTAACAGGGCCCCCAAATGATTGGAGTTTCAAACCTTACAATGCCTGAATCTGTCACTAAGTAACACCTGGCACTTCCCTTTACCTGACAACTTGCTGGTCATTCTTCAAGATATACAGAGATGTAGCCAAAAGGGATCGCCGGAGGGAGCTGAAGAAGTCAGGGTTAATCTCCACTGTGGGCAGGCCTCAGGTGCCCAACAATAGTCAAAATGTTCCTTCTTCCCCACACTGCACAGCAAGCTCCCCAAGGCCAAATTTGGATCCCACTTATCTCTGTGTCTTCTACACCTGGCACAGTGCTTGCCATACCGTAAGCTTGCAATAAACGTTTTTGGAACTGAACCAAAATTCTCATTAATTTGCAGAAACAAACATGTCTTTATCCTTCAAAGCGCAATGTTTCTTCACCAAGAAATCCAAAGCAAAAGAGGCCCATAATAAATTATTCGGGAGACATATAATCAATCCAAGATAGTGCATCTATTCCTGAATTCTGATTTCTAGTTATAATGCATTTAATCTAGGAAAGGTTTATATTATACCAAGTATATGCATATATCATACTGTCTGCTTTTTGAATATCATTTAATATTCATGGAGCTGAGGCTCAGTTTATTACGTAGCTTGCCCCAGGTTACAAACGGTGGAATCAGAAAGAAGGCCAGTTCTGACTGATTACAGAACCTTCTCCTCCCGCTATATCAAGCTGCCTTTCAAAAGAAGGGGGGGGGGGTGCTCGCTTCGGCAGCACATATACAGAAGAAAAGGTGGGGGAAAGGAAAGAAAAGAAAAATAAGCCTTGTTTCCTTTTATTATATTTTTAAAGATCCAACATTTGAATAGAATTCACATTTTAATATCTATAATACTCACGAAAATAACTCTAGACAACATTCCCTAAGATTAGAATTCAGAATAAATGAAAGTAAGTTCCATATCGAATTAAAAATATATAGAGAATATATCAAAACCTGAATAATTTAATAAAGTCAAAATTAGACTCTTTCTCTCAAAAAAGAATAGCTTCTACATTTCTATTAAGAGCCTTTTATTGGAGATTTTATTTGGTCTAGACGGACTTGTTAGGATACTGTATAGTCTTTCCATCTTCATCTGTTAAAATAAAGCTTTTTCTTGAGCCAATTTATTTGAAAATCATGACCTCAAAATCATTCCTGATTTCAAATATTAATTCTATACAAGTATCTCAGGTACATATATCTATATATATCTCTACCTTCTCACCTTTAACTTGACCTGCTCAATGGTCATACCCATAAAAATATACACCCATTGCCTAAACTCCTTAACAGTTTGTGTGTGTGTGTGTGTGTTCATGTGGGAAACAAAGGCAGAAGAAAAATTAGCAAATTTCTTTACTACCTATAGCCCATTGACATTTAGTCATAGGCATATTAATAAGTCTTTGAAACAGGCCAAGGGACCTTCCTCTAGAAACTCTGCTGCCTCGATGTTAATACTTTGCTAAGGCCAAGAGGCCATCTTAGCTCAACCCCCAGGATCCTGAGTCTACTTTAACATATAAAAATTCTGTTGGAAACCTTCTTTATCTCTACACCCCAAGGTACATCCTCCAAGCATATGTCCCACCAATATGCATCTAAAGGGTCTCATGACTGAGTTTTTACTAAACAGTAATGAATTATCTTTTCCTAACAATAGCTAGCCCCCTCAAGATCCTGGAAACTTTGTTTCCAAAATACCTGGGAGGCTTCAGCAATCCCTAACCCCTTGCCAGCTTTAAAGTATATACTGGGCCACTCCTCATGACCCCAGGGCAGCTTTTTGCCCAAGAGTCCTGTCCCCATGTGTTAATAAAACCATCTCTTTGCACCAAAGATGCCTCAAGAATTCTTTCTTGGCCATTGGCTTTGAACCCCACCATCTTTCCTACATCATGTATGATGAATGAAAACTTAGCCAGTGATATTGTCTACATTTTATAAATCTTCATTTTTACGTATCTCAATTTCCCCACATCATATAATTTTCTTAAAATGTAAAAAATACATGTAGTGCATCTCATACTGTTACCCAAATGGTGTTTAGGATTTCTAAATTTTTATTTTATTTTATTTATTTTTTGATAGTCACAGAGAGAGAGAGAGAGAGAGAGAGAGAGAGAGAGAGGCAGAGACACAGGCAGAGGGAGAAGCAGGCTCCATGCACCGGGAGCCCGACGTGGGATTCGATCCCGGGTCTCCAGGATCACGCCCTGGGCCAAAGGCAGGCGCCAAACCGCTGTGCCACCCAGGGATCTCTGTTTAGGATTTCTATAGCTAAACTGCTGGAGTCTATAGCTTCCTCAAAGAAGCCCCCCAGCTGCCCACTGGTTTGCAGGTTAGTGCTGACTACTCTTTCCCCCTAGATTTACCTTCACAAGCACTAGCTCAACGTGTTTGAAAAAGAGAGGAAAAATTCTACCCAGTTAGTCCACAAACCAGCTTTCTAGTTCTAATAACTGATCTATTAGCAAATGAAGTCATATATGCAAATATTCTCTGCCTTGCATCCAAGGGACCCTCAACACATATTAGTTCCTACATTAAGAATGTCTCATCTCGGGCTTGTGAAACTCGCAAAAGTCAACCATCTATTATTCCCATAATGACCTCCTTCCTCAATCTTCCCGCTGCTATTACTCTGTTGCACATTGTCCATTACTTCACAAAGGGACCACCTGCCAAAGGGTCTGATTCCAACCCCTTGCCTCTCTCCCGCTCCCATCATATTGCAAGACTTGCCTCCTCTGAGCATTGCTTAAAACAAGACACCCACCTGCTCAAAAACTTGCACTGGTCAAGGTCTACAGGACTCGGTTCAGACAAAAATTGCCTTTGCAAGCCCCCCACCCCTCCCTCTTCAGCCACCTCTGTCTCCTCACTGTCTTCCAAATAAAATAAATTCAATCCTTATTGTCTACAGCCAGACTTCTATTCTTTTTCTCTCCTTTTGGATCCTCACGATATCAATCATTCAACAAGCTGAATCTTAAGCCAAGATCTAACTTAAATCTCAACTCAGGGAAGTCTTCTTCGGCCACCCCAACTAAAAGAAATCACTCTTTTTTCTAACTCAGGGGTTTGTGGACGATGGCTGAGAGCCAAACCCTGCCCACAGCATCTTTCTATCGAGTTTTATTGGGACATTGTCATATCTTCCGCTTATGCAGGGTGTAAGGCTGCTTGTGTGCTGTAACAGCACAGCTGAGGAGTTGCTATAACCATCTGTAATCCACAATGTCTAAAATATTTACTAGATTGGTAACTTACCAGAAAAAAGTTGGCTGATTCCTACTCTAAATTCATAGAAGAATGATAGCTAACCTTTTTAAAATAAGTACTATATCCTGGGCACTGTGTTGAATATTTTCTTTTTTTTTAATATTTTCAATTCAATATTTCAATGAGGTTTTCACAGAAGCCTTATCAAGTTTGTTATTCTAGCACCCCCATTTAACCATGTAACTCTACTCTTCCCTGGTATCCCTCTTAACCATTGTGCTTGTACCACCATTCCTGGAAGTATGTACATTATAAAACTACTATGTGTCCTATCCATTTAATAAGTATCACTCACTATCCAGTTCAAGGGATAGTACCTGGCATACAGGAGGAAATTAGTAAGTACGTGTTAATGAATAAATTGGTTATTCATTATTTTCCTTGTATGTCTTATATAACCAAATATGGCAAGCTAACTTGAATGGTATGCACCTAATCTTATATTTTATCTTATATTCTTTTTCTTAAAGATTTTATTTATTTACTCATGAGAGACACAGAGATAGAGAGGCAGAGACACAGGCAGAGGGAGAAGCAGACTCCCTGCAGGGAGCCTGATGTGGGACTCGATCCCAGGACCCAGGGATCATGCCCTGAGCCAAAGGCAGACACTCAACCACTGAGCCACTCAGGCGTTCCTGTATTTTACATGCTTGACAGCACCTAGCAAGATGTTTTTCATATTAGACTGACCCCAAAGTAAAATTTTGGTTAATATATGTATGCCAAAGAAAACACAAATTTTGTTTTCCATTTGAAAGGAGGATCTCATAAGTACAAATCACTCTTAGATGGTCCATTCACAGATAAATGTGGCTGTCCTCTATGTAGCTACTACTTGATTTCTCCAAATAAAGCACTTACCTTTGCATGATCAATACGACTACTTAGTTCTTTGGATGCAAATCCCCCAAATATGAGACTGTGGATGGCTCCTATCCTTGCACATGCCAGCATGGTATACATCGCCTGAGGGATCATGGGCATGTAGATAACCACAGTGTCACCTTTCTTGATACCATGTTTGACCAAAACACCAGCCAGCTTAGAGACCTGTAACAAAATCATTACATCAGCCAAGTGTTTTCTGTGTTATTTCACTCAACTTGTAAATTAAGACAGTAACACAGGAAGATGGTCACCCTCTCGGTAGCGGTTTAAAGAAGGCTGAGATAGACATATTTGGTGATGATGGAAGCTTAGTCACAGTAATAACAGACACCTGTATTACAATATTTGGCTATAAACCAACTTACTATTATTATGCCGTATAAACTCTGTGGCTTAAATTTGCTTAATTATTCATTCAGCAACATATTTACTGAGCAACTGTGATATGCCAGACACTGTGTTTCAAGTTGAGAACAAAACAATGAGAAACACGAGCTTTTATTCTAAAGGGCAAATCTGTCGAGTGAACAGAAAAGTAACGTAATGGAAATCTGGATATACATTGGGTTAACTGTTAAAAGAGGTAAGTATGTGTAAGGAAAGAAACCATATCATACATTTAGAAGGTAAATAAGATGGATTGTTATTATTATTACTATTTAAATAAACATAACTGAGATTCAGATATAACAAATAGTTAACCCTGGACCAGAGAGGTAGTATATGATGCAGCCACGTTACCATCACAAGTCTTTCAAACTCATATTCTTTGTCCTTTCTACTGCCTGAAACCAATTACTTTTTCTTTACAGTTTTTTTTTCCTACTAATTACCTATACAAAGTACTGCCCTCTATATTGAGATCAAACATACAAACTTCTTTTACCTTTAATATATGTTTTGGGGACCAAAACTGTGTAAAATATGCTCAGGCCTAAGTGAATAAGAGATTCAACATTCTTTTTTTTTTTTTTTTTTTGAAGATTTTATTTATTTATTCATGAGAGAGAGAGAGAGAGAGAGAAGCAGAGACACAGGCAGAGGGAGAAGCAGGCTCCATGCAGGGAGCCCGATGCGGGATTCAATCCCAGGACCCCAGGATCACTCCCTGATCTGAAGGCAGACGCTCAACCCCTGAGCCACCCAGGTATCCCTCAATAATCTTTCATTTAACGAATGTATATTGGGTGCCTGTTATATGGAAGACACTGTTTTCTGATACATCTGTAAACAAAACAAGACAAAGATCCCTATCCTCAGAGAACTTATGTTTTAGCCAAGTAAACCCTTACAGTAAACATGAGTAAGTTATGTATTATGTTAAAAGGTAATCAGTACTATGGGTGGGGGAGGTGGAGTATTACAAAATAGAGTGACTGAGAATGCAGGGGATATAATTCTCAAGGGGACAGCGAGGGTAGACCTCCCTAAGAAGGACACAAACAAGTTAAGAATAAGTTGGATATCCCTAAGCAGAGAGAAGACTAGTACAAAGGCCCAAGGGGGATTATTTGTGATGTGACGGAGTAACAGCAAGGAGACCAGGGTGGAACAGAAAGAACAAATGAGGAATGGTCGTAGATCAGGTCAGAGAGCTAAAGAAAGGGCCCGTGGGGGTCAAACGGGCAATGGGAAGGTCTATGGCTTGCCTTTGGATGGGAGTGTTCAAGATACTAAACAGAGGAGGCCTGAGCCAAGGAATTGGGCCACAGTGCTATTTATATCCTTTGATTTCATTCTGCCTCTCCTACTTGTTCAGCAAGTTCAAAGGATTTGGAATCCTAATCATTCTTGCTTTTTCTGTTTATTCACTTCCCCTGTGCAGAAGGGGAGAGATGTGGTCAAAGTTAAGGGCTCCAGTGAAAGAAAGTAACAAACAACTCTCTTAGTGTTTTGTTCTCCCCATTTGCACGCTAGAATTTAGTACTATTTGTTAAGAACTCAAAGCTACCCAGCAAAAAGTTATGAGAAGATATACCACAGGGATATAAATCATGAACTTAAATTCTATATGGAGCTCAAGATCAAGAAAAACACTGGAAAATTATATCCACATCCTCAGGGTGCAATCCCCATAGAAATGGGATACTGGATATCCCATTTAAGGTACAGCACTAGGAGAGACCATTGAGAAGAGTTTGTCCTATTTACAACTATAACTTCAGTATCTTGAATAGCGTCTATTGTTGAATAAAAATGATCTTCAACCAAGACCCAATCTGGCAGTGACTCAGTAACTGTGTATTCCAACCTCACTTCACAATGTTGCTGTAAGATGCCCCAAACCTCTGTCCTCTGAAAGAAATGAAATCAATGAATTTAAGAACTTTTTTGGAAAAAAAAAAAAAAACTCAAAATGACCAAATGTGACCCCACAATGTATTTAAGTTGGAGTTAAGTCACATCTTTAAAAAAAAAAGGGGGGGGGACACCTGAGTGGCTCAGTGATTGAGTCTGCCTTTGGCTTAGGGCATGATCCCAGTTCGGGGATCGAGTACCACATCTGGCTCCCCATGGGGAGCCTGCTTCTCCCTCTGCCTGTGCCTCTGCCTCTCTCTGTGCCTCTCATGAATAAATAAAATCTTAAAAAGATAATACAAATAAAAATTTTTAAAAAGAGCCAACATATTTAAATGAGGAGGTTTCATATACAAACCCAGATTTCTAGGTTCTCCTGAAAACTTGTAAAGTCTAGCAGCACTGGGCTTCTGTTCCTGAATGATAGCAAGCACCTGAACCTGATGATAAGCTACTACATTGAACTCACCATTCCTTGGCGCCATTAATCACAGAGCATGAATTTTACTTCCCATCCTGAGTTTGAAATATATTCTTTTAAATCTTATTTTATGTTATATGCATACACCATAGTTCTATAACCATAAAGGTGTGATATATACGGATAATGAATTTTTCCCCCCACCCACTTCTCATTATCTGCTTGGTCAGGCATCTGAATTGTGAAACACTTCCCTGAAGACAACTTTCAGCAAATTAGGCTGCAGCAGAGCTGTATCAGCGCTAGATGGCGTCCCTCTGGCCTTGTTAACCTTGCTTCCTGCAGCCACTCAATGTTTTGATACGGTGCTAACCACATCAGAGTTGATCTAGAGAAAAGTTATACATTATCAATAGCTAGAATTTCTTTTTCAGTAGTATCCAGGGCTAAATGCATACATTTCATATATGTATATTGTATACCTTTATGGAATTATATGTATGTATGCGTGTATATATATGAATCAAAACACATGGAAAAACATTTCTGGTGAGACTTCTAAAAAATAGGCATATGAAAAGCAAATGCTAGCTCATAGCAAGAAAAATAAATGGACATTGGTTTAAAATGCAAATGTGAGCGATGCCTGGGTGGCTCAGCGGTTGAGCATCTGCCCTTGGCTCAGGTCATGATCCCAAGATCCAGAATCGAGTCCCACATGGAGTTTCCTGCAGGGAGCCTGTTTCTTCCTCTGCCTATGTCTCTGCCTCTCTCTCTTCGTGTCTCTCATGAATAAATAAATAAATCTTTAAAAAAACAATGAAAATGTGAAATATAAAATATTTCATACTAACATTGTACCTAGAGAGAGTAAATACGGGAGTCTTAGAACAGAATGCAGAAGTCTTGTTTCAGACACAGATAAAATCATTTTGAAAATAAGTGTAAGCAACAGCAAACAATACGAGGAAAAACCCCAGTCACCTGAGAGCCCATAATCCCTCAAAGAAAGTGCTATGAAACTTCAACACCAAGGGCAATTTGATTATTGCTATTTCAGGGCTCATCTTGTTTTACTGACTTTCAGAAGGAAAATTATCAAGGAGAAGGAAATTCGATATTATTTTTGTCCAATGTTAATATTCTCATCCTACCATAGATATCTGAATGCAAATTCATCATTTCTATTGCTATCCAAAGGAAAAACATTTAACATATATCTTGTATATATAGTTTTTCAATAAAGGAAAAGTTGAATCATGTGTCTTTCACCCAATCTATATTCATGTTTGCATCTTAAGATTGTGTTTTAATTTATCAACAATTTAATCTTTTTATATCACTCACACATACCACCAAATTTAGTTTTCAGTCTGATGGCAAAGACGGTACACATGCTATGCATTCATGGTCAGGCCACACCCCTCTCTAGCATGAGGGTAACTGAACTAAGAAGGAAACCTGAAGAAACAAAATGAATGTACATATACATTTAGACACAGCACTATTTGTTTCTTCCCACTAGAGACTATATGAATTAATCATTATTTTGGTACTAACTTAAAGACATTCAACTATATCAGTATCCTCCTGTCATTGATTCAACTTATACAATATCTACTATACATAACTATATGGAAGTCAAGGTGCAGATGCAAACATAGGAAGACATAGTCTTTAAAGCAAAGAAATGCAGAGTCCAGGGAAAAAGAACATAAGTAAATAGTAATGACAAAATAAGAAAATGTAACAACAAATATTTATGTTATGTGAAATGGTATACACATATAGCTGGTTTACATATAACACGTGCTTATTTTGGATACAAGCGAGAACTTTAAATTTTAAAATTATAAAACGAAAACATTAGTATAAATAACAAAAATGAATTTAACAAATTTCATATGTATTCATTCTGCAAAATCTTCATTCAAAAGAAGTCTGTGGGTTAGTATAACTTCATGATCCAAGGCCCATGACACAAATATAAACATTGGGCGAAACTGACCAAAGACTATGTTCTGTAGAGTAAATTAGCACTTGCTTTACAAACAGCAAGCGTGCCCATCTACAGAAAATCATCTTTGTATGAGAAAGATAGTATTAGTCTCCAAATTATAGTAAAAAGATAATAATTATGGGCAATTTCAGGGCCATGTCAAAGAAAATTATATGAAAGAGAAGACAAGAGGAAGCATATTTTTAAGCTGCAATGATGTTGCACTGCAAACACTGGTCTAATCAATCACAGAAAAGTTAACTAATTTAAAAATCAATTATAATATCTGAGGAAGCAGTCTTTTTTTCCTAGGATTCTACTTGAAGAATATTCAGAAACCTTTCCACGGTGTGCTACATAAAAACATCTTAAAAGATGGGGAGTAACCAGGGAACTTACAGGTGTTTGCTCTATAAAAGGTTGAATCAGACTTTCTAAAAATCT